GGTGGGGGGGGGGGGGATGGGGGGTTCTTTATAAAAAAAAAACAAATGTGTCAATCATTTATGCAATCATTTTAATTTATTTTTTATTTAACTTTCACCTTTATTTCATGTTTTTTTATTTTATGTAAAAAAAATTATTCATTATTTCACATAACAATTCATAATTAATAATAATAATTATTATTATTTTTAATATGAACAATATTAACAGTGATGCTTTTCTTAGCAAATAACAATTATGTCCACATTTCTAGGTTCAGAGCAAAGCATGCTGGGATGTCCCTCATGTCAATCATCTGGTATAATTTAATCATATTGTATATATATATATTAACATTTTATATAATTTAATAATCAGCAATTTATGCAATAATTTTCATTAATTTCAAGTACAACGTATTTCTATTTTATGTAATAATTATTTTTAATATTCTTAATTTTATGTAATCATTAATAATTGTATGATGATTTTGTTTGATCACTAACCTTAAGTATGAACAATATCAACAGTGACACTTTTCTTAGCACTAGCACTAATAATGTCTATGTTCAGTGGGGGTTCTTTATAAAAAAAAAACAAATGTGTCAATCATTTATGCAATCATTTTAATTTATTTTTTATTTAACTTTCACCTTTATTTAATGTTTTTTTATTTTATGTAAAAAAAAAATCATTATTTCACATAACAATTAATAATTAATAATAATAATAATTATTATTTTTAATATGAACAATATTAACAGTGATGCTTTTCTTAGCAAATAACAATTATGTCCACATTTCTAGGTTCAGAGCAAAGCATGCTGGGATGTCCCTCATGTCAATCATCTGGTATAATTTAATCATATTGTATATATATATATTAACATTTTATATAATTTAATAATCAGCAATTTATGCAATAATTTTCATTAATTTCAAGTACAACGTATTTCTATTTTATGTAATAATTATTTTTAATATTCTTAATTTTATGTAATCATTAATAATTGTATGATGATTTTGTTTGATCACTAACCTTAAGTATGAACAATATCAACAGTGACACTTTTCTTAGCACTAGCACTAATAATGTCTATGTTCAGTGCAAAGCATGCTGGGATGTCGATCATGTCACTCACCTGAGGTAAAGTCCCACCCCCACGTCCTGCAGCTCTCCATCACTGATGCTGAAGCAGTTGCAGGTCACCTGTGTAAAAACATGAAAAAAGGTCCATAAGACACACATCTCTGTGTCTCAGTGAGGACATAATATTGTCCTCTCATCATTAGTTCTCTACTGTTAATCTGACTATTTATGTCTTTTTCCTCCCATTGAGAAAAAACAATTATGCAGCTTGCCAAAAAAACGTTCAAGCAAATCTAAATGACCTCCTCATTTGGTGATACCAGACTTGAATAAGTTAACAGATGTTCACAATCAGTCCCCACATGGAAGAGCACGGGTGTGTTTTTGTTTGGTCTGATTGCCGCAGGGACGATACGCTGCAGAACTCAAGCTGGACAGAGTCCATCTCCCGGAGAGATGAGGCAAACATGTCTGTAACGAGTCACAACAAACCCAAAAGAGAGTGGAGAGCACAGCACCGGGCGATTCTGACGGGTTTTTAGATTGGGCTCTGTGGGATAGATGAGAGATGTGTGGAAGGAGAAAAGCAAACAGAACACTGCATAAATAGACAGCATGAGCGTTGTCGACACGGGGAACACAGCAGTGTGTGATTTCAGACACTGAGAGAAATATTACAATCAATCAATTATTAACACTGAGAAAACGCAACCAAAAATGAACCAAATCGATTGTGCTGTGGGGTCGAAAAAAGCCACTGGATGTTTAAATAAATAATAGTTTAATATGCCTGCACTCTTAAAGGGAAAGTTCACTCACATAAAAAATTTTTTTTTTTTTATTTATTCATCATTTATTCACCCTCATGTTGTTCCTACCTAACTTTCTTCTATGGAACACAAGATGTTTTGAACTGTCTATGCTGCTTGTTTCCATAAAATGAAAGTGAATGTGAGCTAAGGATGTGTAAAACTATATATTTTCTAAATCAACCAGTCGCTGGGTTACCTGAACTGATTTAGTAAACTAATTAGTCTTAAGGAAGCCCTGTATAATTAGGCAGGTTTTTGACCCCACATGACCCTAATTGGATGTGTTTCTTTAAAAACAAACCAAAAAAAAACACGTTCTTTAAAAACAGAAATTTGAGTTATTTGCTGAAAGTCTTCACCTATTCTGTCATAAAATGATTTGCATTTGTATACACTGCGATATGCTACTTCAAAATGTGCTGTCAGTTTTGACATCAAAGATTTGAGATGAGAGTTGTTATTGTCGACTAAAGCTTAAACTAAACCTATTATAAATCTGTTTTGTTCATTGAAATTAAGCAGAAAAATCAAATAGATGAAAAATTTGATCTTAACATTTTTTTGAAATGCTGTATTAGCAACTAATTCAAATAAAAGTACTAAAATTACTAACACTACAACTGAAATAAAAATCAAGCTACATATAAATAACAAAACAACTAAAGAAATCAAATAAAAATAAAAATAATGTTGCCTAAGCTACTAACTAAAATACAAGTATTAAAATCACTAAAACTAAAAGAAAAGAAGCTAAATAGAAATATAAAATATAAACATTTTAATATGAAAATATAAAAATAAAAGCTAATTCTAAATATTAAATTCTAAAAACAGCGAGAGCTACAGGGAAGATTTTCAGACTGAAATATCAGGAGGTTGAATAAATGATTTTTCTTTTTTTTTGGTGAATTACGTCACTTCACAAGACATTAATTGATGGACTGGAGTGGTGTGGATTATTGTGCTGTTTTTATCAGCTGTTTGGACTCTCATTCTGACGGCACCCATTCACTGCAGAGGATCCATTTGTGAGCAAGTGATGGAGTGATGGAAACTTCTCCAAATTTGTTCAGATGAGGAAACAAACTCATCTACATCTTGGATGGCCTGAGGGTGAGCAAATTTTCATTTTTGGAGAAATTTTCCTTTGAGAAGAACAATCTATTGAAACCGTTGAGACTGCATTATAATATTCATAACCACAGGCATAATGACCCAGGATTTGACCCAATCGAGCGCAAACATCACCTCATTGCCAGCGAAGAACTCTGACTAATGCAAATCGATTTAAATACACAGTACCACACACACAAGAAGAAAGAAATTAAACGGTTGACAGGCAAAAACACCCACAGAGGAGTCTTCATTGATGTTGCCCTTATATTTATCGTCGAAAACATATTTCTGGCACATGCCCAACTAATTAATAGCTAATATATGTAAGGAGCTGCTGGGAAGACTGGCGGCTCTTCATGTGGCGCCACTGCAGGGTCTTTCATGTGGGGAGCGTGAGATGGGTTTTAAAAGGTGTGACTGAATGTCTGCTTGGCCGCGGACTTGCTGACGACAGGTTGAAGTGTGTGTTTGTGTGCATACAGTATGTCTGATGTCCCGAGGCGTCTCGCTCTGCATATCTGCACTACATAAACGTGAAATGGATCCACGGTTAAAGCATATATGGTAATCATTCAGCACCATTGCATATATTAAAGAATCACGATAGTATCATCTGATACTGTCATTATAGCTTGCCAACGCCAGTCTGATCAATATCATAATACTATTCAGATATGCAATACAGGAAAAAAAGCATGAAAGATAGCCTTCATTTGAAAACCAAAGACAAAAACAGAGTCATGGTTCAGATGGTTCTATTTTAGTTACATGCCACTTCATTTTTCACATGTTGTTTTCCACATTCTGGAAATAAAATCATGCAACGCAGGACAAATAACCTCTTGTAATTTCAATAGGAGTCACAAAACAAACATGGACTTGGACATGGACGATGTGAGATAGATAAGTCAATGTGAAACCATCCAGATCTGAATGCAAAAAAAAAAAAGTGTTAACATCTGCCCAAGTAAATGCAAGACCTCTGTCCTACATAAAAACACACTGACACTGTATTCATTTACATTTGCTTTGGCAAGTAGTGAAGTTCTCAAATGAGCAATTTGGTCAGAGAGACATACTGCATGGACAAAGAAAGACGGCATGCTTGGATGTTTTATTCATAGATTTTGTTGTTATAAATGAAATATATTTGTAATTCCAATTATTCTTCAAGTCAGCGGCACAAACTGGTCTTCAACGACCAGTTGAAGATTTTAATTAATCAGAATACACATATGGGGAGAGAGAGAGAGAGAGAGAGAGAGAGAGAGAGAGAGAGAGAGAGAGAGAAAAGCTAAATCATCTGTGGGAGGATTAAGTGGTGTGGATTATTGTGCTGTTTTTATCAGCTGTTTGGACTCTCATTCTGACGGCACCCATTCACTGCAGAGGATCCATTTGTGAGCAAGTGATGGAGTGATGGAAACTTCTCCAAATTTGTTCAGATGAGGAAACAAACTCATCTACATCTTGGATGGCCTGAGGGTGAGCAGATTTTCATTTTTGGAGAAATTTTCCGTTGAGAAGAACAATCTATTGAAGCCGTTGAGACTGCATTATAATATTCATAACCACAGGCATAATGACCCAGGATTTGACCCAATCGAGCGCAAACATCACCTCATTGCCAGCGAAGAACTCTGACTAATGCAAATCGATTTAAATACACAGTACCACACACACAAGAAGAAAGAAATTAAACGGTTGACAGGCAAAAACACCCACAGAGGAGTCTTCATTGATGTTGCCCTTATATTTATCGTCGAAAACATATTTCTGGCACATGCCCAACTAATTAATAGCTAATATATGTAAGGAGCTGCTGGGAAGACTGGCGGCTCTTCATGTGGCGCCACTGCAGGGTCTTTCATGTGGGGAGCGTGAGATGGGTTTTAAAAGGTGTGACTGAATGTCTGCTTGGCCGCGGACTTGCTGACGACAGGTTGAAGTGTGTGTTTGTGTGCATACAGTATGTCTGATGTCCCGAGGCGTCTCGCTCTGCATATCTGCACTACATAAACGTGAAATGGATCCACGGTTAAAGCATATATGGTAATCATTCAGCACCATTGCATATATTAAAGAATCACGATAGTATCATCTGATACTGTCATTATAGCTTGCCAACGCCAGTCTGATCAATATCATAATACTATTCAGATATGCAATACAGGAAAAAAAGCATGAAAGATAGCCTTCATTTGAAAACCAAAGACAAAAACAGAGTCATGGTTCAGATGGTTCTATTTTAGTTACATGCCACTTCATTTTTCACATGTTGTTTTCCACATTCTGGAAATAAAATCATGCAACGCAGGACAAATAACCTCTTGTAATTTCAATAGGAGTCACAAAACAAACATGGACTTGGACATGGACGATGTGAGATAGATAAGTCAATGTGAAACCATCCAGATCTGAATGCAAAAAAAAAAAAGTGTTAACATCTGCCCAAGTAAATGCAAGACCTCTGTCCTACATAAAAACACACTGACACTGTATTCATTTACATTTGCTTTGGCAAGTAGTGAAGTTCTCAAATGAGCAATTTGGTCAGAGAGACATACTGCATGGACAAAGAAAGACGGCATGCTTGGATGTTTTATTCATAGATTTTGTTGTTATAAATGAAATATATTTGTAATTCCAATTATTCTTCAAGTCAGCGGCACAAACTGGTCTTCAACGACCAGTTGAAGATTTTAATTAAACAGAATACACATATGGGGAGAGAGAGAGAGAGAGAGAGAGAGAGAGAGAGAGAGAGAGAGAGAGAAAAGATAATAATTCTGTGGAAGTATTCAATGAAGAAAACATTTCCAGGTCACATTTCATTTGCATCAAAACAACTCCTATTTTAAGGACCATAGGACTGTGATGTTGTGATATGATTTTAATGAAAATAAATTTCACCCATGACATGCTTGGATGTTTTATTCATAGATTTTGTTGTTATAAATGAAATATATTTGTAATTCCAATTATTCTTCAAGTCAGCGACACGACTGGTCTTCAACGATCCCAAAAGAGCCCATGTTACACCTCTCTTTATCTCCTTGCACTGGCTACCGGTTGCGGCTCGCATCAAGTTCAAGACATTGATGCTTGCATATAGAACAGCCACAGGCTCAGCACCCGCCTACTTCCACTCACTATTACTAATCTACATCCCCTCCAGAAGTCTGAGATCCAC